ATTGCAACGGATAGAGAAGAATGGAGTGGTCGACAGTGTCAAAGGCCGCTGACAGAGCCAACCGGATCGACGTGGAAGATTGTCCCCCATCCAACTTTAAACGAAGAGCATCCGCCAGAGCAACTGAATCCGTCTTGGTTCCAAACCCAGGCTTGAATCAGGATTGAAATGGATCAAGGGCAGACGTGTCGTCCAGGAATACATGGAGCTGCTTTGCCACTATGCGCTTTATCACCCTCCCCCAGAAAAGTTACATTGGAGATTGCTCCATATTTAGTGAAACTCCTCCTTCGCCAATGAAGCAAAGTTCTAATAAATGCTCCTGTCAAAAGGTCTGGGCAAAGCCCCCTGAGTAAGTGAGACATCGACGATTTTAGCCAACGGCTTCAGTACCTTTCCTTGGCATGGTTTTAGAAGTCAGCACGGGCACACGCCGAGAGCGCAAGTGGTGGTTCTCACAAAACGGGGGATCCGGTCAGCATCCATTGGCAAAATCAGTGCAAAACTCCTTATAGCCAAAGGACAAGTAGGTGCTTCTGACGCCTCAGATACTGGATCTACTCTACACTTTTGCCTCCAAGTTGGAAGAAGAAGAAGAGAAGAGATTGGATTTATACCCCGCCCTTCACTTGGAGTCTCAGAGCGGCTTACAAACTCCTTTCCCTTCCCCTCCCCACAACAGACACCCTGTGAGGTGGGTGGGGCTGAGAGAACTCTGACACAAACTGCTCTTTTTCAAGGACAGCTGTGCCAGAGCTTGTGTCTGACCCAAGGTCACATCAGCAGGTGCAAGTGGAGGAGTGGGGAATCAAACCCGGTTCTCCCAGATTAGAGTCCGCACACTTAACCACTACACCAAACTGAGAGATAATTGACCAGCAAAACCCCCTCACAGCTAGGGGCTGGATTAACATCGCTGTCAGGGCTGTACTTAGGTGGTATCAAGTCACTTTTTAAACAACTGAGCTGGAAGGGGATTCAGTTGACACAATGGTGGTGGTGGTGGTGGTGGGAAAAGGCTTCTTTGCCAGCGTCTCCTCCAATTCATAGGCTTGCAGATGGTCTCTACAGCACGCTGCCTTATTTATCCTAAGCTTCCAGTCAACGTTGCTCCAGGCACTTCCCAACCGCCTTCATATCCCCCAGCTCCCTAGCAAACCACGGACCTGGGGGCCTACCAAAGCACGCAACAGGATGCCAAGGAGTGACCCTGTTTATGGTCCCGGCCAGCCGATCATTCCGTGAAGCGACGGTGGCCTCCGCGGTCACTGGGAAGGCTCTCCAAATCCCCCTGAGTCACCTGGAAACCAACAGGATCCATTAATTTCAGTGGGAGGACCACTCGTATCAGTCCCCTCCCCCTGTAGGGAGGAGGAAGCCGCTCAGCTGTGCCTTCCAAAGACGGTGGTTTCACCATAACAAGGGCTGAACCTCTAGCACCCTAATCACACCACTGCCAAGTTACTCGGTGCAGACAAAGCCCTTTCTTCTTTTTCTAGCCTTTGCGTTCTTCAGTGGGTGTTTAGATACTCAACAATTAGGAGTTACGTGCCTCTAATAAGTCTTACAGATGAAGATGCAGCAGTGTAAGTCAGACTCGAATCAGGTCCATCATGAAGAAGAAGAGGAGGAGATTGGATTTATACCCCCGCCCTTCACTACCCGAAGGAGTCTCAAATTAGTTTACAGTCTCCTCCCCCGTCCCCTACCCCGTCTCCTCCCCCGTCCCCTACCCTACCAGGTGGGGCTGAGAGAGCTCTTTCGAGAACTGCCCTTGAGAGAACAGCTCTGAAATAACTTGTGACTGGGCAAAGAAAAGAAATACAAATGAAGCCTCCAGTGCAATCACATGTCCAGTAGTACTTCTCTCTGGTCAACTATATATTCTCCTGAGATTGTACAGTACTACTGGACATGTGATTGCACTGGAGGCTTCATTTGTATTTCGCCCAGCCTTGTGCTGCCCTCCCCGCCTCCCCCCGTCTCTCCCCGCCCGCCAAGCCTTGTCCTGCCCTCCCCATCTCGCCGCTCACCCCCCCACTGCGGTCTTTCTCCGCTCCTAACTGAGGCCTGAGTGGCTTGCAGCCGCCAGGCCTCGCTGGTCTCTCCCCGCCCGCCAGCCCAGCAGCCTGCCAGCCAGCCAAGGCTTGTCCTGGCCTCCCCTCCCCTGTTGCCGCTGCGGCGGCATTCGCAAAGCGTCCCCTGCGCATGCGCAGGGGACACTCTCTTAGTTTCAGGGGGATTTAAACACCCCCCCGATTTTTTCCCCAGGGTTTCTCATTTTTCTGCAGGCGTGGGGACTGACCCACGTGTCCCCAAACCTCTCCCTGCCCCCCAGGTGGCCCTGGAGCGCGGATTTAGATATCTGCACGCACGGGGCCACTTCAGTATTAGTATAAGGATATATTTTTACATTATCAGCCAACATGATCTGTTTGTATTAGACCTCTGAGGAAGGCCTGTAAAGGCCGAAACGCGTTAGGTCCATTTCATTAGCCCTTGTATGTTTCTATTTGTATATGAGGTATGAATGGGCCCTTTTAATTTGTGCTGAATAAATACATGTATATTTTTGTATGTTTCATAATTAGATTTTTAGAGTTGGCCCTCTTCTATTCTTGACTAACCTTTTTAGGTTCTGAACCATCCACCCCCTGCCAGTAACCTGGAGGGACCTGGCAAGATCAGCTGGATCATATGGCAATGAATCTTGTTCAGGCATTAGGGTATCTGTTGTGTGCCTGTATTTTGGGCTACCGGAATAGGACAACAACTTTTAACAGATGTCGTCAAAGGCTTTCACGGCCGGAGTTCATTAGCGGTGGCAGATTTTCCGGCTGTATGGCCGTGGTCTTGGCATTGTAGGACCTGACGTTTCGCCAGCAGCTGTGACTGGCATCCTCAGAGGTATGACAGAGAAAGATGGAGTACTCTCTGCGTCAAGGTGAGAAGGAAACCGGTAGGCAGGTAATTTATATCTACTCAGGAAGGTGGGGTAGGGCTGAGTCATTATCTTGTAGGAGTTCCCCAGGCTATGAACATGCTAATGGAGGCGCTTTCCTGAGGAGGTTCTTTTGTATATGGATTGTTTCCTGAGGAGGTTTCCTGTTTCCTGAGGAGGTTCTAATCTTATCTGTAGTGCTATTGTCAGATGTAGAGCCTTTTGTGTTTTTCAGGACACTGGCGAAACGTCAGGTCCTACAATGCCAAGACCACGGCCATGCAGCATGGAAAATCTGCAACAGCTAACTTTTAACAGAATCCATAGGACTGAAACTGGTTTGTCGCTTCCCCTCCCCCCAAAACTGGCCACATCCTGTCAAAGAGTTACCAATACACACAAGCTGTTTTTCTAATAGTGCTTTCTATATAAGTGGCAATGGGTACTGCCAGAGAGATCCGAATACGAAGACAAATAGGATATTGACAGAAAAACGGAGGTGGTACATTAAATCCTCTATTTTACGACGTCTGGAGAGATCACCTCCTTCAAACAAGAACACCTACCTCAAATGCAGCGTTGTTTGTTGCAGACATCATGTCACAAGAACATTTTAAACAAAACTAAGAAATATGTCCTCTCCCACGTACTTACAAAAAAGTTGACTATGCTTTATCAACTGCAGTGTTTCAGGGTGCGCGAGGACCATTAAATCAAGTTTCCGTTCTCAATCAGGATATCAAACGGTTCTACCACAGATCTGACATTAGTCTCTAACAGCCATTTTATACATTACCTCTTGCAAAAAAAAAAAAAAAAGATTCACTCTTTCATATTTGCTATTTAAAGTAGTAGGCAAAAAAGGGAAAAAATATTAGGGGGAACCCCCCCCACACACTTGTAGCTATATCTATTCTCAGAAGCGAATAGATAAGAACCGACCTTTCATACTTGAGTGTATTGAAACAGAGCCTATAATAGTTTCTTGAAAACCTGTTTCACTCCCATGCCATATATGACTTTTTTGGGTCTCATATTACGGGGGGAAAGGGGGGGAAACAAGCAGGAATTGACTAGGTAATTACTAGAAAACAAAACCCCCCCCCCCCACATACATTGCGTATGGTTGCCTTTCCTCTCATCATTATACGTGATTGAATGTACTCGACATAATACCTTGAACCTTTCCACAGTGTAAATTAATAACAGCATCTGCCGAGATTTTTAGTTAACGTCAGTAATTTATGGCTTTCCAGTGTAAAGCCTGACTTTTAAGACTGTGCTGACATTAGCCCGGGGTTATGCTCGCTTTCACAGAGACACGTGGTCTTGAGACAAACACATTGGCTTCTACTGAACGTTATTTAATTTTCCCGTTGCATCATCAGAGGGCCGTTTCCGAGCACCCCGCATTTGTGAATCTCGGCCCTGGCCTGCCCCCCCCCCGTGACAGAAACCATTAAACGCTTTAATCCTTTTTTTGACGGTACCGGTGACACAAAGTATTACACACTTAAAAAAAACACCAAACACCCTGCCCTCCTTGGTGCGCGCGCACGTGTGTGTATAAATATATATACAAAATTGTGGAGCATCAGTAACCAGATAGTATTCTCAAATTTCAGTGATCTAGTCAGTGGAGCTTTCCCCATGTTCCGTGCTCTGTTTCATGTGGTACATGCCTTTTGCTGGCCAAATCTCTCCCCCCCCCCTCCACTGAATCAGTAGAACAGTAAAGATCTTACTCTCTCTCCCTCTCTCCCTCTTTTTTTTTTAGCAGTGGCATATCAATGAAGCGCAGATGTGTCTTCCAACTCTGCATGGATGAGCACACTGTTCAATAGTGCTGGCTCACGCGGTATCAGGGCGAGTTATCACTTCCCATGAAGGCACTCTTATCGCCGGGGCCCAGAGAGGTGGCTGCAAATCGCAGCCTCTTTATTTCCAAGGCAGTTTTGCTGAACATTCAAGCTTCAAAGATTCACACTTCCAAAACTCTATAAGAGTTTGTGAACGCTCAATTTGCCAAAACTGTTTACAGTGTAATTGGGCACCGTACCTGTGTCCATGAGATAGCGGAGGCGCTTCTCCACCAGCGCGGCTCGGGTGTCAATTTGCTTCTGCTCATTCTCTAGTGCTGCCAATTCTCCCACAACATACTGACTGGTGTCTTTGAACCCTTTCTGTTAAAAGAGAACAAACAAGGAAGAAAATACATCACCTTGTTAAGTTGGCATTTTTTCCCCCTCTCCCCTCCATTCTAGAAACACTTAGTGGGCCACTTACTTAAATATCATGCTCGCTTATAAAAAAAAAAAACCCAGGGAAACACTCGCGATTTATGGATCCCACCCCATTTGCCAGACTTTGTTGTGAGGTATATACTGTGTGAAGATACCACTCCTCGGAGGCTGGCTTTATGGGTCTGAGCGCCTTTCCTGACTTGTTAAGAAGTCTACGGAATTCTTCTACGAGCTCAGAGACCAAATATAGTTCATTCAGAGCACAGTTGGCTAACTTTCCACTACAAAGGAAAAGGCCTCATACACATTATTCATTTCTACACCTCCAGCTTTTAAGCCGCTGTCTTTTGATAAGGACAGAAAACAAGGATCTACTTCAAATGGCTAAAAATACAGATGTTAAGGACTTAAAAATCCAAAGTCCCGTGAACATTCCTCTTTTTTTTGGGGGGGGGGGGATTTATTATTTGTGTAATTTTAAATGTTGACACTCGGCAACAACAACACTACAAGCTTCTTCAGGTGTTCCCTACAGCAATTTCTTGCCCCACTACCCAACGACCTGGCTAAAGCATTGCTAATTATTGTTGTCCAAAGTTCTTATCCTAACAAGTGATGACCGAATTCATTTACACAGATTCTCAGGTGCAGAAAAACAAAAACCCGCCCCAAATAAAAAATGAAATAAGATTCTGCAAACTGGATGCTCTGGCTTTGATTCAAACCCCCCCCCCCCCCCCACTCCGAACTTTTCTCTTACATTAGAAAAAAATTTGCTTTGTTTCCCCCCCCCCCCCCCCCCCCCGATATTTCAATTTTCTTTCCAAGTCTTTCATATGACAAATGCTACTTAACACTTGGACGGAAAAGAGAGGAGGAGGAGATTTAAGTATTTTAGTCTGCAATCCTGTGGACATTTCCCTGTAAGTATTTCGGATTGCTCCCCTAGGAAGGTACGTAGGCCGCCTTTCAGATTTTCTCGCTGTGTGTGTACATGAGTGGAAACACACTAATTCAAGCTACCAGAGACCTGTTTCTTACTCTGGATTATAACTAGATCTCTTTCAGTTTCATAAGGAGAGGACAATTTGCTTTCAAACCCTGTTTCGGAAAACACGGGACTTTAGAATCAGCTATGCTGAGGGGGTAAGAAAAACTGAAGCTCTGCTCTGGCATTCGATTTCAAAATGGTGACTGGAGGCAAAGTTCCATAGAAACGTCCTCCTGGAATTCCTATGAAATCACTTACAAACCTCTTCAGGGATCTTCGACAAGACAATTCCAGAGCAGGTTAAGGCAGAGATGCTTGTCTGAGAGGAACCCAACTGTCTATTCCAATGAGACTCAGGGATTTTTTTGTGTGAGGTACCTGTGGTACTTTTTTCCACAGGCATTCCCAAGTCCTGAGGGGCAAACTGGTGGAAATCAGGGCAACATTATTGGCGCTTAACCCCCCCCAATCCCCCCCCCCACTGGATGTATGTACAGATATTATCTTTTGGGAAAAGGATAAACACTGGGATATCACCAACCCACACTTGTTGCGGGATGATAGCCAGTCACACATAGCGAAAGAGAATGATTTGTTTCTTCAAATAGTTGCTGAGTGAATCAATGCAGGAATTTATGACTGAACATGGAGATTCAGTGAAAGCTGATAGGGTAGTTCGTGCCTCTCTCGCAACCAATGAGTGCTGGCCATGGAAATTTATGGGGGCACCTCCCCCCCCGCAACCAGTTCTAAGGGGGGGGCTTATTTTACTTGCTTTGTCCTTACACACATGCAAAAAAGGAGGGGGGAAACGGATGTTGCAGCCTCTGAAGTACATGAAGGAAAAACCAAAGGGGAAGGGGAGGGGTGAGACACTAATAATAATAATGAAGCACTAATAACAATAAGGAAAAGAAGAAAGGCAATGATAATTTCTTTGCTGTTAGTACAAAATTCTGCCAGTGCCATCTCTCAGGACTGCACAAAATACTACTGGATTAAAAAAAATGCTGTGTCAGGATGAATCTTCCCTAGAGTTCATGTGTACGATTTGCATATATATCGTGAACTTGCTGAGCAAGACCTCTTCAGCTCTATTAAAGCACAACTGTTCTTAAGTAATACAGGGGGGGGGGGAAAATTATCAGCTGGCGGATTGCTAAAAACGAGCAGCAGCCAGCCATTCAGTCCACAAGTAGGATGTTTCATATACTCTAGATGGCACTCAGTTGCCTCAGCCAAAAACAAAATTTAGCAGCAGCAATGTCCATCCTGAGGGAAAAACGCACCCACACAAACACACACACAACTGTGTTGTTGAGCCCCCCCACCGACAAAATAAAAAAACAGGGAGGGGAAAACACCCATATTCAGGTTAAAACTTGTTCCTTCCCTCTTCTGTCCTCCAGCTGTCCATCAAAAACAGCTTTCCCCCTGCGGTCTATCAAATATTTCCCTCACAAATCAATTTTACACATGATCAGCCCATACCCCTACTGAGCTGAACCTCCCCGTTAATTAAGTGAAGAAATTACCATATATATTATATTAATGCAAACATCATTCAGCTAGTAATTCACGGCTGATCTGGATAATGGAAAGGTTGAACACCCATTAACCCAAGCCAACAAAATGGGTTGGCTGAGAAATTCTAGCAGGTCTCATGTGACTCTTCCCTCTAACTGCAGCTCTGCGGTATCTGCTATTGTAATAATTAAAATCCTCCCGGTAGATCAATACTGGAATCTCTTTATGGGAAGTGCCCTGATGGAAATGTCTCAAGGAAGGCTGGGAGCTTGTGGAACTCTGAAAAATTCATTTTTTTTTAATCTGACAATTATCACCACGCCGCAGACTAATTCAACAGCGCGGCCCCTCTCACTCTGCTTTGAATGCACTGGAGATTGACATCTAAGAAAAACCTAACATCTCATTTTAACAAATAAAAGGCACTATTTCCACATACAGTTGAGAATTATCAGCAATCGTGAAACCAGACAAAAAATTAATATACATTAAGCACTTCATCTTCTGATGGCTTTCTCTGAGTTTCAGTTATCGCTGCTTTCTCCTCATTCCCTCTCTTTGTATCTTCCTGTATTGATCTCTGTCTTTTCATCTCTGGAAGAAAAAAAAAAGGAAGGAAAGACATGTAAAAATTATTATAATACTTGATATTTGTGTATTGAAACGTGGACTTACATTATCTGGTTTTAATATATTTATTGTGGAATGTTATTAAATCATAAGATGGGTGGCGGCGGAGGTGGTGCTGGTGTTAGAGAAATCTGGTCTTTTTATACTTTCACCCACCTGGCCTGGTTTCAACATATTGACTGAATGACTGAAGCTGAGTTTTCCTAACTGCGGAATCCTTGCTGAACACGACAGGATTTCTGAAACGTTCTGTCGCCTTTTGTAATCGCTCAGCACGATGGTCTTCCATTTCATTCTGCCAGGGGAAAAGAGGGGGGAAAAATAATAAAAACCTCACGCAAAATTCTTTCGTGTATAAACGCAAAGTTAGAAGTTGGGGAGATATATTTCAGCAGGAGAGTTTTATGTGGAGGAAAACCTCACAACTGAGGTTACTCCTTTATGTCAGATAGAAATGATAATCAGGACCTAGAAAAAAGGAGGTGGCATTAGGTCTCAAAAAAGTGTTACGCAGCCATATATATAGCCCTGATTCATGATTTATCAGTTTCAAAAGCACTCTGGCTTTACTCTGTTCCACACGCTGGTTGTCCCAGTGAAGAATTTTGTCCTTCTGAATGGGCCCACCGGCTTGTATGACAAGAATAACTCATTTCTGATTTTATGCCCATTGAGATAAACCACTAATGCTGGATGAAGGATAAAAGGCAGGATTATAATACTACCCCAATGAACTGCCATTTCGTCAGCTATAACTTTCCGAATCCAGATTTGTAAAGTAAGCCCTTTACAGCTAAGGAAAACGACAATTGCCCGTCTTCCACAGCTCCCTATGTTAATACTGGTAATTCAAAATGGGTCTATCGACGTGAAATATCCCAGAAGACTAAACCACCACAGTGTGTGGAAACTGCAGATACCGAGGTGCTGTGTACCAAACAAATATTTCATTTTATACCCTAATCTATTATTATTTTTATTAAGTGTTTTGAAAGTAAATAGGGAAAGGCTAAGATGCATGACTAATAGCTAAGCCTGCTGAATGCTGAAACTGGTTATCAAAAGCTACCAAGACTTTGCCCTTCCTCTGCATTGAGACAATTGGTAATGAGGGGGTTCTCCAACGGCCTATTCTCTAGCCTCAAGGAGGCCTGGGATACCGAATCCTCCAGGGAAGGTAACAGTTTATCCTTTTTCCACAAACACAGAATGCCTCATTTATAGACGTGTAAACTGCATTTTATTTAAAAAAAAAACACCACAAATCCAACTCGAGGCTCAAAGCTCTCAGAGAACAGATGGACCTCGCATTTTATTTATTACTCCATTAACAAAATAACTGCTTGGACCTACTGACTCCCCTTTGTTGTGGTAAGTTAAAAAAAAAAAAGGGGGGGGACTCCCAATTAATTAAAAAGAGTGTATTTAAAAAGAGAAGTACCATTTTTTTGTCATCACGTTGACTGGCACCGAATTGACCTAATCGTGTGTTATTTATTAACTTTTATTCCTGTCAGCGAACAAGCCACTATGATTTTGGCTTTTTTGTGAGGAAAAGGATGGGCTTCTCGCTGTTCACACAACAGCCCTCCGACTGTCGAAGCAGAGGTCTTTACCAAAATAAACAAACATGGCTAATTTTTTTAGGCCTGGCAACGTGCTAAAATATCAGTGCGATTAGCCAGCAAATCCCATTTTAAGAAGCCTTTTTATGACTAGGGACTTCTGCCACTTTACAAATGTATTCCTCTAAGCCCGCTAATTCAGTTAGCCTTTTCAATCCATTGTATTATTTCGGGGCCGGCTTCATTTTGCATTAAATCCACTGCAGAAAGCTAAATTGAACGCCAAAAAAAAAAAAAAAGAAAAGAAAAGAAAAGAAAAAGAAAATCAGGCTCGATCTAGGCTTCCCTTTGTTCAAAAGATAGAGACTGAAAGTCCTCCGCTGCTGCCACACACTTTCATCACCAATTTATCGGAACCAACAGCGTAAGGGGGGGGGGGGAAGCAATGAAAGTCATTGTTTTGGGGACTTCAAAGCATCTCTGTATCTGGGGGAAAGGAAATCCTTTCAGTCAGCGAGCACATACACCCAACAGTCTGCAGGTGGGTGAAAAGTTAGACACAAAGTGCAACTGGCCCTCAGCCGCTGAAATCTTTTCCACTCAGGAGTAAAGGGTACGGGATAATAAACTGACAAGATGCACTGATATCTATACGGAAATCTATGTTTACGTTGTCTGAGAGAGAGCGAGAGAGAACAAGAAAGCCAGTTTTTGTATACACAGACGTATGTCGTAACAGAATTTCTCTGTCGCGTAGGAACTATGATGCACACATAGCTAGATCTGAGTTCCAGTAGCTCCCTAAAGAGCGGTGGGATTTTAAGGATATAAACTTCTGAGAGTCATATCTCCCTTCATTAGAATGAGACGAACATGATTTTCAGGATATATGTCGAAAGCTTATTCCCTGAAAACCTTGCTGGTCTCTAATCTCGAATCTGTTTAGCTACAGGCCAACATGGATACCCTCTGAAATGATGAACAAAATGTATCACCTACCATTTCTTTCCATCCAAATCACGAACCCCTCCCCCCCAGGTCGGGGTTGATGAAGTACTTTGGGTTTGGTACAGGAAAGCCAAAGAGATAGCTGAAAGGAAGGCCCCAGTCCACTCACACTTGGCCTCGGGAGGGGGGGCAGCGGGGCCGTTTGACCCGGGCCTGACATTCTCGGCGAGCCTCATAGTTACACTTTTGATGTTAATTACTAGTTTTGTATCATTGTTTTTGCACTTCATTTTTAAATTTACGGGGGGGGGGGGCTCAAAAATGGAAGTGGCCTGGGCCTCTCTTAACCTCTGTGAGGGCCTGCTCACACTTAATGTAAATGGATGATATACTCTTCGCTTCGCTAGAAGTTGGGTAGCTGTTCTGACTCCCTGCACCTCCATAAAGTCTGGTGTTCAGGACAAGGCAAGGATCTCGATAGAATTCTCAACAGAGTGGCCGACAGGAGCAGTCACTGGCTATACAATGAAAGACCCACCATAAGAGAAACGGCATTCATCACTATGCAGGAAAACCTTAGGGACTGCATATATCCGATTCTACACAGCCACCGACCATCACAGAAATTTTGACATGGGAGGACTTAGAAGAAAAGTTTTCTTCACTGCAAAGCACAAATATGAACCCAGAAGGCTCAAGTACTGAGACGAACAAATACTTGAGCTGAAACTTACCTTAAACTCTTGCTCCGTGCCATCAGTAACCAACTTCGGAGTGGCGCCGGGGAGTGAATTCGCCAGCGGCGGCTGAGCGTCTACCAGCTTCTTCAACTTCAAATCCACCAGCCTGCTGTTCTGTTCCACTACATACACAAAGACCACAACACAGCAGAGTGAGATGCGTTTGGACGCTGAGTCACTGTGATCACGTATATACCGGTTTGAGAGCGACCGTACTTGCACTGCTCTTTCTGTAATCTTAAAACTGGACAACTGAGATGGAATCGGAATACGGAACTTGGAATTTGAGAAGCGTTCCTCATCTTTCCAGTGGTGGTCAAGAACACCTTCTAAAAGTTGCAACGGGGCTCGCCAAGTCTCTCCTTCCTTAGACTTGGCTGATCTGGACATGCTGATCCATGGTTTTGTCACCTCATGGTTGGGTTACTGTAATGTGCTCTATGTTGGGTTACCCTTGAAGGCAACCCAGAAACTGCAGTTGGTTCAGAATGCAGCGGCCCCAAAGCTGTCAGAGGCTATCTGATGGGACCATATCTTGCCCATCTTTAAACACCTACACTGGCTACCGGTTTGTTTCCAAGTTTGATTCATGGCGCTGGTTATGAACGTTGAAGACCTTCGTGGGCTGAAGCAGGCCTGTAGGGGCTTTTGGGGGTTCTGCCCCCTTTCCTAAAGGCATAGCCCCACAAGACTTTCTCCTGTAAATGCTTTTTTCAATCATTTTCAATTTTTTTTTAAAAAAGGTGTGCGCTCCTATAAGTAGAGTGGGGTGCTGTAGTTGACTAATTCCTGCACTGAGCAAGGGGGTTGGAGTAGGTGACCTTTAGGATCCCTTCTATCTCTGCATCAAGAAACTGGTCTCCTTTAAGAGAGTTTTCCTGCCGAAGTGTTAGCTTTCTTGACTACAGAAGTCATCACCCCCATCTGCCGGCTTGTGCTCAGAATTATTGCTTAGGCTGGGGAAGTGATTAACTTGCAGCAGCTGAGAACTGTCATCTGAAGTGGTTGACAGCTTGCAGTTTAGAGATCTCTCCTGGTAGCGGCTTTCTATGGGCTAAACGGCTTTTCTTTCTGCACTGAGAACTTCAGCCCCACCAGAAAAAAATCTGCACCACAAGGTTCAAAATCCTGGCTACGGGCCTGGCCTGGAGACCCCCCCAACTGAAGGACCAACTCTTCTCTTACGTTCCTGTGCACCAGCAACAGTCTTCAGGATGCCACCTGTTGGCTGTTCTCCCTCCAGTGCCTGGGCCTTTCCCATCAAATCTCCTCTCTTGCGGAATAGGCTGGCTTCATCGGAGGCCTTTAGAGGAAGCAGCAAGGTCTGATTGTTGGCCATGGCTTTCGATGGGATGTGAGCAGCAGGGATCTTTCAAGGGGGGAGAGGAGGGAGGTATTCTGGGGCTTTTCGTTTTATTCAGTTTCAATTTTCGCGGTTTTGATTACTGCTGGTAAGCAGCCTTGAGCTGAGGCAAGGTATGAAAGTTTCAACATATAAATGCATTTTAAAAGACCCTATATATTTTAAGAGCTCTCTCTCTCTCTCCACTCCACTGGACAGCTAGTTTGGTGTAGTGGTTAGGAGCACGGACTCTAACCTGAAAGAACCGGGTTTGATTCCCCACTCCTCCTCCACATGCGGCTTCTGGTGTGACCTTGGGTCAGTCACAAGTTCTCTTGGAGCTGTTCTCTCAGGAGCAGTCCTCGAAAGAGCTCTCTCGGCCCCGCCTACCTCACAGGGTGTCTGTTGTGGGGAGGGGAAGGGATTGTAAGCTACTCAGAGACTCCTTCGGGTAGTGAAGGGTGGGGTATAAAACTGGTCTCTTCTTCTTCTCTATCCCCAGTTGCTTCCACTAGAGTATTTGTAGTACGGAGCCAAATATATTATGTGTATTTATTTAGGCAGGTATCATTTTATTGTATACGGCCATAAGCCTTCACAATATCAAAACACTCTCAAAAAGTTTATACATTAACTTATGGTAGAATGTTTCAACCTCTAGTAAAACATATAAAACACCAATTAAAATTATTTCGACCTCTGGTCTTTAAAACCGACAAGTCCTTTTAAGATCACTCACTTGGTTGCAATGGTACTATTTGATTTCTTTGCTCTAATTTTTCTAGCGGCCAAGGCAAAGAGAGCCAGTCTTGAAGAGATGAAGGGGTCCTCATCTGAGAGCAAAAGGGTCACCTTTTCATAATCAGACAGGGGGTATATCTGTCAACAGGGCTATTTTTGGGCAGGAACGCACAGGATCGGAGTTCCGACTGGCTCCCAACCTGGCCACGCCCAGCAGGAACTCAGTAGCATTAGCACACTCAACAGCAGAAACTCATTAGGATTGGCTACAATTAGGAGTGTGTGGCCTAACATGCAAAAAGCCCAGGGTTTTGACAACAAACAAGGTAAAGAGAATAAGAAGCAATAGGTGGGTATGGCTGGATGACCACACTTCTGGTAACATGGGGGTGTGGCCTAATATGCGAATGAGCTGTGCTGTCAGGATGTGGCCTAATATGCTAATGATTTCCTGCTGTTGGGTGTGGCCTGTTAGGCTAATGAGTTCCTGCTGGGCTTTTTCTACAAAAAAAGCCCTGTCTGTCAATATCTTTGCTAAAAATTTGCCCCTGGGTTTCTACATATAAAGGACAGGCCATAATGTAGCGGGGAATGTCTTCCACTGACTGCCCACATATACAGATATGTTGGTCTACTGGAGTTTTTTTATAGCGACCAGCTAGCATCTCCGAAGGCATCGTTTGAAAACGCACTGAAGTAAGGGATCTCCTAAGATTATACGAGGTTATGTTGTTTAATTAAGAGGCTCTTGAGTAGTCCTTTTTTATTATTTTCAACCACGGAGTGAACCTTGATTGGGCGATCAATGTGGCATCTATTAGCGCATCCTCTCTAAAAATCCATTCACGGAGGTTAATACTGTTCCCGCCTAATATATTAGTGACGGCAAGAAAATGCACTTGCTTAAATGTAGAACTGCGAGATTCGAGTCCAGCAGAGTCTTAAGAGACCCATGAGATTTCCGGGGAATGAGCTTTTGAGACTCAAGGCTTGCTTCGTCCCATACCACAAACGAGGGGAGTTCTGGCCCTCAAAAGCGTATACCCTGAAAATCTCGTTGGTCTCTGGGGTGCTACTGGACTCGAGTACACCTGTTCTACTGCAGATCGACACAGCTACTCTCTGAAACTTACTCAAATCTAAGCCACATTCATGCCAGTGGAAGGTCTTTTTCAGCGACTTTACTCAACACTGGACATAACGAACGAGTAACGGGTTTATATTCAGAGAGACCCTGGCTGGATACTAAAGGTTCTCATACGCAGTATGCAGGGGTCATTTCTTGCGGGAGCGCACAGGAGCGGAGCTCCGGCAGTAAGGAGCCCAGGGGGTGGGCACATGCAACAAGCCCTGCCCCCTACTCCCAGCAGCCTTCAGTCGGGCCACGAGGAGCAAGAAGCAGCCAGGTAAGTTGCAGAGCCCCCACCCCCACCTTCAGGTACAAGCTCTCCCTCCTCTGTGAGGGCAGATGTGTGCGTTCCCCCCCCCATAGCTAGCAATCCAAAACAGTCCAGTGGCACCTTTAAGACCAAGTTTTATTCAGGTACAAGCTCTCCCTCCTCTGTGAGGACAGATCTGCATGTTACACCCCCAAATGGCTAGCAATCCAAAACAGTCCAATGGAGCCTGAGCAGTGGGTATGGCCTTTTGACACACTTCCTGTGATGTCAGGGGGTGTGGCATATGCAAATAAGTTATTCTAATAAGTTATGCTAATAAGCTCCTGCACCTCTTTTTCTACAAAAGACCCCTGGCAGTATGTAATAACAACCAATGCTCCCTCTATGCTGTGGAGTCCTGTGAGCAAAAATTCTACTCTGTGAGCTGCTGGCATTAAAATTGTGAGCGAGCGATTTGGCTGCTGCATAAATCAGTTTGCTCTGGAGCCATCCTTCCTGAGCTAAGACAAAAAATGTGTGAGCCGGAGGCTAAAATCCTGAGAGCTAGCTCACACTAACTCAGCTTAGAGGGAACGCTGGTCATAATGTTGTGTCTGTTATTCATCGAATAGGCAGACACGCTTGCTGTTCAATGCTAAATATATTTTCCTAAAATTAACTCCTACTGAATTCAGCGGGACTTCATTCTAATTAAGCATGCTTGGGACCACAATCTTCACAAGTCTGCAAATTGCTCTGATTAATGTCCAATAAAGATTCTAATTAGAACGAGGTCACCCATATACCTTCATCACTCGATGAATGCAACGTCAATTGATCCCTTTCAAGAGTGAAAAAAGATGAAACCACCACGGGGCACAACTTTGCTATTTTGCTTTTACCGCCCACAAATTATCAGTTGGCTAGCTGGCAGCACATATGTTTCAGAATCAAGAAATAGGAATCACTGAATAGAGCGTGGCTTGGATCCGGGAGAGAATTTCTGCTTCTGGGGTGTGACTTTCTCGCCTTTCCCATCTTCCTGTTGGCCCAAATTGTCCTTTGAAATGCCATTCTGGGAGGGGGGGTTTCCCCTGTCCCCCAGGAGCAGTATTTGGGGGGGCATTTGAGGTGGCAGGAGAGAGGAAAGTCATGTTCTGCGGGTGGAAGTCCTTCCACTGGCAGAAACACTTTATTGCAGGGGTGGCCAAACTTGCTTAATGTTAGAGCCACATGGAATAAACATCAGATATTTGAGAGCCACAAGGCATGAACAAATATATAACCTACTCTTTAGTTCTTTAGCTTGGAGAAACGACGGCTGAGGGGTGACATGATTGAGTTTATAAGATTATGCATGGGATAGAGCAGGTAGAGAAAGAAGTCCTTATCTCCCTTTCTCTTGATACAAAAACTTGTGGGCACTCCATGAAATTGCTGGGCAGTCGGGTTAGAATGGATCAAAGGAAGTCCTTCTTCACCCAAAGAGTGATTAACACATGGAATTCACTGCCACAGGAGGTGGCGGCGGTGGCTACAAGCATGGAAAGCTTCAAGAGGGAACTGGATAAACATATGGAGCAGGGGGCTATTAGCCACAAGGTATAGATAGGAACTCTCGGTCTGGGGCAAGGGATGCTCTGTATTCTTGGTGCTTGGGGGGGGGGGCAACAGCGGGAGGGCTTCTAGTGTCCTGGCCCCACTGGTGGACCTCCTGATGGCCCCTGGTATTTTTGGCCACTGTGTGACAGAGTGTTGGACTAGATGGGCCATTTGGCCTGATCCAACATTGGCTTCTCTTACGTTCTTATGTACCTTTACTAAAGCAATACATAAATGCCAAGTGACCCAGAAGCCATTGCTTGCTGGAAACTAAAGAAAACATCCAGTTTCCAACTGGACAGGCACACAATTATAAGGCAGAGGTTTGATGCGCTGATAACATCTTTCCTGGCTGCCTGAAGAACCTGGAAACAAACACCTCAGAAGATGCTAACCACTAAGTGATCTATAAGAAATAATGCTGGAGACCGATACAGTCAGAGCTGGATCCCGAAACAAAAAGTTATAACCTTCTATAAACCGGAGAAAGATCACTGACTTGCAATAAATTAATACCTCTTCTTTCTGTTAAGCTGCTTTTTTCCCCCCTTCAAAAGAATTGTTTCTACCATTATGTTCCGAACAGAGATAAACCCGGTTTCAGACCAAACTGCGGTAACTGATGAAACGGGGATTCTTTAAAAAAAATAAATTCATTATTGCGTTTCCACGCCAAAGCCAAGACTATCCCTATATTCAGCTGCTTACAGCTTATGATATCTCCCACTGGGTCCGTAGAATAAATAGCCATACGCAAGGTCAGGAATGTGGAGATGTTCTTACAGCACAACTGGTTTTGACGGGGCAAAAATAGGAGCTCACGGAGATGTGAGAACAAACGGGTGGGTTTGGGAGTACCGTGAGTGGAGAGGTGCTCACAGACTGGGACTTTCCTGCCACCCCTCTTGCATGGCAGCCTCCCACAATGCTGCCCCGGGAGTGGGGGGGGGGTCAGGGTTGGGGTAGAGATGCCAGCCTCCAGATGGGACCTGGGGATCCCCTGGAATTACAGATCATCTCCAGACTACAGGGATCAGTTCCCTCGGGGAAAACAGATGCTTTTAAAGGTAGACTCTATGGCACTGTACTCCAATGAGGGCCCTGTCCTCCCCAGGTTCCGTCACCAAATCTCCAGGAGTTTACAAACTTGGATCTGGCCACCCTACTCCCCCATCCCCCACTGGTGCCCAGGGGGAGACCCGGTAACCCGAGGTCAGGGGTCAGGTGGCGCTCAGGAACTGCACTAGGTATATTCAAGTGGGTAGCCACTGGACTCAAACTTTGCACTAGTTCTAATGCGGGATCTACAGTGGGAGGTGCTCCCTCCAAGCTGTGGGGTCTTGTGAGCAAAAATTCTACTTTGTGAGCTACTGGCATTAAAGTTGTGAGTGAGTGGTTTGGCTGCTGCATAAATTATTTTGCCCCGGAGTAATCTTTCCTGAACTAAGACAAAAACGCGTGCACCGGAAGCTAAAAAACTGTCAGCTGGCTCACACTAACTCAGCTTAGAGGGAACACTGGTGGGAATTAGTGAAAATGGCCATCTCACCTTCTTCTGGTGGAAAGCAAGCTTTGGATCCAATCCCAGTTTTTCAGATTTTTCGCAAACAGCTTCCTAACAATACCAATCAGGACTCAGTGAACCATACAATACCGGTCAAGATCTCAGCTCTGGTAAGGAGCACTGACTGGACTGAAATCTATCCCCTATAGTAGATGGCTGAGACTTATGCACAAGTAGAACCCAAATAATCCTACAACACATTGAAACCTTTTCTGCAATCGCCATAATTTGGAATCCTCACCTTGGGTCCCAGATGGTCTTTATGCCAAACAGCACCTTCTCAAGACCCAGAAGAAGAAAACCTATTTTACAAATACTACTGATAATTATTGTCCTCATAACTATCTGTGCTACCATCAGCACGGATAGACAGGAAAGTGCTGCCAGAGCTACAGGAACTGCGGCTGACTGCATTCTTGATTGCCCCGTTCCCGCATTTACATCCCTTCACTGACCTGATTATGTTCACTGACCTCTTATGTTCTTATAGGTGGAACACTCTGTCTGGGCAATGATGCTTTGTCTTCTTGGTGTTTGGGGGGCCACAGTGGGAGGGCTTCTGGGGTTCTGCCTTGCTGGTGGACCTCCTGAGGGCACCTGGGTTTTGGCCATTGTGTGACACAGTGTGTTGGACTGGATGGGCCACTGGCCTGATCCAACATGGCTTCTCTGATGTTCTTAAGAGCATATCCAAGGGATTTATGGGGTTGCTACATGGAACTGGGGAGCTGCGGTGGCTCAAGTGGTTAAGACGCTGAACTGCAGGCTGTGGAAGGTCGGTAGTTCAGCAGTTCGAGACCGCATGATGGAATGAGCTCCCATCTCTAGTTCCAGCTCCTGCCAACCTAGCAGTTCGAAAGCAAGAAATTGCAAGTAGATAAATAGGTACCACTTTGGAGGGAAGGGAACAGTGTTCCGTGCGCCTTGGTGTTTAGTCATGCTGGCCACATGACCACGGAAACGTCTTCGGCTTTAAAACGGAGATGAGCACCGCAACCCTAGAGTCAGATTCGACTGGCTTTCGAGCAAGGGAACCCTTACCTTTACATGGACACAAAGCAAGCGGAGACCTTGTGATTTTTTTTTTTAATTAGCTGTGCCTTCTGGCGACCCCGGAGGGATTTCCAGGCAAAGATGTTCAGAGCTGGTTTGCCGTTGCCTGCCTCTGTGGAGCAATCCTGGGCACGCATTGCTTTGGTCAAAGGTGAAAGCACCAGGGCTATTTTGGGGCAGGAACGCACAGGAATGGAGTTCCGGCTGGCTCCTGAGTTGGCCACACCCAGCAGGAACTCATTAGCATAATAGGCCACACCCAACAGCAGAAACTCATTAGGATTGGCTACATTAGGGATGTGGCCTAACATGCAAAAGAGTTCCTGCTACAAAAAAAGCCCTGGGTTTTGACAACAAACAAGGTAAACAGAATAAGAAGCAAAAGTTGGGTGTGGCTGGATGACCACAGTTCTGGTAACACGTGGGTGCGGCCGAATGTGCTAATGACCTGTGCTGTCAGGGGTGTGGCCCAATATGCTAATGAGTTCCTGCTGTTGGGTGTGGCCTATTATGCTAATGAGTTCCTGCTGGGCTTTTTCTACAAAAAGAGCCCTGGAAAGCAAGCATGTTGTTGTCAGATTCCATCCAGTGAGAGAGATGCAACAACAAGGACTGATCGAGATCAAGTATTGTCCAACAGCTGAAATGGTGGCTGACCTCCTGACCGAGCCAGTCACCCAGAAGAAGTTCGAGTGTCTTCGAGAGAAGTTGAACCTTCACGACTTTAGTTCGTGAACTCGAGAAGGGATATCTGCGAGTTCTCTTCCTGTTTGTCATGAAAGCATTTCCTGTTTGTTATGCATACTAATTTCTAGTGAGAGATCCAACAGAATTGTCTGGGGGCCGTGGTAGCTCAGTGTTTAAGACGCTGAACTGCAGACCGGAAGGCCGGTAGTTCGGCAGTTCGAGACCTGAGTGCCGCGTGACGGAGTGAGTTCCCGTCTCTGTCCCCAGCTCCTACCCACCTAGCAGTTCAAAGCAAGAAATTGCAAGTAGATAAATAGGTACTGCTTCAGTGGTAGGGTAGCAGCGTTCTGTGTGCATTGGCGTCTAGACATGCCAGCCACATGACCACGGAGATGTCTTTGGGCAGTGCTGGCTCTTCGGCTTGGAAATGGAGATGAGCACTGCACCCTAGAGTCGAATTCGACTGGCTTTCGAGCAAGTGAAACCTTTACCTTTTTAGAATTGTCTACACGTTTTTCCCGCTAGAGCAAGGTGACAGAATGCATAATTAGCTAGTGCTGGGATTCTCCCATTGGATAATCAATAGTTTGGGGATGAGCCAAGGGACAGAGCATAGGGTTTCAGTTTATTGCTCTTTGTTCTTCTCCTTGAAGTTTCCTCTGAGTCAAGTTAAGTTCTTAGAGTAGCAACATGTAGCTTACAGCTAGTAAGGATGATTTATTTTACTTTTGTTCTCCAAGTACCCTTACCAAACCTTTAGTAAAAATTCTTTTTCTAGACAAGTACACGTGTGTCTGGCTGCTTTAGTCTAACTCTGCTATTTTTGTATCTCAATACCTAACACATTCATAGTCTACTAAATTTTAAACCAAATTTACATTCAGTGTTGATAATGAATCCACCTCAAGAACCAAAGGAAACGCGCATCTAACTTGGTGTTTGGTCATCCAAAGTGAGTCCAGAGAAATGTTTTCACATGCCATTTTGGAGATATTGGAAACAGAGACTTAAAACCTTCTTGCGGGGCAATGCGATAAAACCATTAATGAAAAACAAACAAATGCAAGGGTTTAAAAGGCTCCAAGCAAACACAATACCAGACGAACACATTACAAAAAACCGACAGCGATGATGCAAGTACGGTTAGTCATGCAAGAGACAAGAGACAGCCATTAGTTGAATTACCATTGGAATCAAGGTCGTTTTCTAGGTTAGTATGTCGATCTTCGTTGCTGGTAATAGAGCATTCGGGAATTTCTTCATTAGTAACTATCTCAATATCATCATTCCCATCCTCATCTGTAGGAACACGCAGTAACAAGGTTAGTGCTTTTTGTGTTGTACATGCACAGCTTTCAATCGATAAAATTAGTAGTTTGACGCATCCGATGAGAGTGCTCGCCTGCAGCGCAGAAAGGAAAAGTCACTGAAATGTAGTCATTGGTTTATTTTTTTTAAAAAATCAAACGTTACAACACAACTAAACTAAACGTTACAACGCAACACAAACTAAAAAGCATCCTCACAGTAACTTAAAGCAGGGGTGCCAAACGGGGTTGTGGCCGTCATGGTGACTGCCAACTGCTTTCAAAAAGTGGGCAGGGCCAGGTGGGGTTTCCGCCCAGCAGGGCTTCTGATTGGCTGTGCAGATTTTAGAGGCATCCCGTTAAACAGAGCTTCTGTCTGAAATACTGAAGAGTTACTATCAGAGTTATGCATAACCTTGCTCCCTGATATTTTGTGGTTGGCTCCGCCTCCTGCGGCAGCCATTTTGTAGTAGTGCCCACCACCCTGCCTAAAGTCTACATGCTTTACGAGAGCTTATTTCACAATACGTTGGTTAGTATCTCCTCACGGTGCTGCAAGACACTTTACCAATATTCTGTTTCAAAAGGTGTTAAGCTACTGAACTCCATTCTGACACTTAGTCAACAAACTAGTCAAATGAGGTCAAGCACTTACTGATACAGTTCAGGGCTGAAGTAAAAGTGCACATGTTATAGGCGTGCTGAAAGACAAATGTTTGACAAAACCTGCCCCTATAGTTTATAGTTTAAAAGAGCCCAGCTGGATTAGACCAGTGGTCCATCTAGTCCAGCATCCTGTCTCACACAGTGGCCAACCAGTCCCTCTGGAGGGCCAACAACAGGGCAGAGAGACTGAGGCCTTCGTAAGAGCATCCAAAGACCCCTGCTGGATTAGACCAGTGGTCCATCTAGTCCAGCATCCCGTCTCACACAGTGGCCAACCAGTTCCTCTGAAGGGCCAACAACAGGGCAGAGAGACTGAGGCCTTCGTAAGAGCATTCAAAGACCCCTGCTGGATTAGACCAGTGGTCCATCTAGTCCAGCATCCTGTCTCACACAGTGGCCAACCGGTTCCTCTGAAGGGCCAACAACAGGGCAGAGAGACTGAGGCCTTCGTAAGAGCATCCAAAGACCCTTGCTGGATTAGACCAGTGGTCCATCTAGTCCAGCATCCCGTCTCACACAGTGGCCAACCAGTTCCTCTGAAGGGCCAACAACAGGGCAGAGAGCAGTGGTCCATCTAGTCCAGCATCGTGACTCACACAGTGGCCAACCGGTTCCTCTGAAGGGCCAACAACAGGGCAGAGAGGCCAAGGCCTTCATAAGAACATCAGCAGAGCCCTACTGGATCAGATCAGTGGTCCATCTAGTTCAGCATCCTGCCTCACACAGCGGCTAACTGGTTCCTCTGGAAGGCCAGGACATAGAGGCTGGGGCCTTCCCCTGATTTTGCCTCCTGCCACTGGCAAACCTTGACAGCATAATAAAAAGTAGAGACATCACCCTGCCAACAAAAGTCCGTATGGTCAAAGCAATGGTATTCCCAGTAGTCATGTATGGCTGCGAGAGTTGGACTATACGGAAGGCCAAGAGCCGAAGAATAGATTCTTTTGAATTATGGTGCTGGAGAAGACTCTTGAGAGTCCCTTGGACTACAAGGAGATCAAATCAGTCAATCCTAAAAGAAATCAACCCTGGCTGTTCCCTGGAAGGACAGATACTGAAGCTGAAGCTCAAATACTTTGGCCCCCAATGAGACGGAAGCACTCACTGGAGAAGACCCTGATGCTGACTGAAGGGAAAGACTGAATGTCAAAGAAGAAGGGGACGGCAAAGGATGAGATGGCCGGACAGTGTTATCGAGGCAGCGAACATGAAATTAAGCAAACTCCGGAGCACAACGGAAGACAGGAGGGCCTGGCATGATGTGACTCATGGGGTCGTGAAGAGTCGGACTCGACTGAGGGACTGAACAACAACAACACTGGTATTCGGAGGTTTACTGTCTCTGAATGTGGAGGTTCCCTTTAGTCACCGGCGCTAGTGTCACTGATAGACCTTTCCTCCATGAATCTGTCTAATCCCCTTTTAATAAAAACATAGGCCAAGCGTTCTTTTATGGAACTCAACGGCCACAGCACTGGCTTCAGTTGAACCAAACCTGAGGAGGGAGAATTCCGAAGCAATAGTTAGGGGGAAAAGAAACAGTCAACATATTATGTTATCAAGCCCCAATCCCTGCCTCTTAAAATGCAGATGACTGGAAAGAACAGAAAGGGAGACACAGATAGGCCAGGAACTGAAAAAGGCCACAGCTGATGTGAACCCGGCTAGGACCAGGGGTCATTTCCTGCGGGAGCGCACAGGAGCGGAGCTCTGGCAGTAAGGAGCCCAGGGGGCGGGCACATGCAACAAGCCCCGCCCCCTGCTCCCAGCAGCCCTCAGTTGGGCCACGAGGAGCAAGAAGCAGCCAGGTAAGTTGCAGAGCCCCATCCTTCAGGTACAAGTTCTCCCTCCTCTGTGAGGGCAGGTCTGTGCGTCCCCCCCATATCTAGCAATCCAAAACAGTCCAGTGGCACCTTTAAGACCAAGTTTTAATCAGGTACAAGCTCTCCCTCCTCTGTGAGGACAGATCTGCACATTCCCCCCCCCCCCAATAGCTAGAAATCCAGAAGAGTCCAGTGGAGCCTGAGCGGTGGGTGTTGCCTTCTGACATACTTCCGGTGATGTCAGGGGGTGTAGCATATGCAAATAAATTATGCTAATAAGTTATGCTAATGAGCTCCTGTACCTCTTTTTCTACAAAATGACTCCTGGCTAGGACAGAGGTCTGAAAACGAGGGAGCTCTTCAAGTCCTCGGGCCTTTACGAAGGGTGCCTTGAAGGAGCAATTTTGCAGTAAATTTGGCAAAAGACAACATTTGCCAACTTGCCTGGCAGACAGTGAAGACAATAATAAAAATCAAACATTATTTTAAAGACCACGATGAAGCCTCTCTTTCTGTCAACCCAATATTCCCTCTTCTCTAAAGACCGTCTCTCAACTCTGCATTTTTTTTCACCTCGGAGGAACTTATTTTTTCTTTCTGTTCCCTACCTTTGAACTTGTGAGAATCTTTTCCTTGACCCTCTAATCCTCACTTGTGTGCTCTGAATCTTTTCTTCCTTCTGCCTGAGAAGCTCTTGAACTTCACTCTCCTTCAGGCGGTATGCGCCACCCATGTTTCCTCAGCGCTCTATTCATTCTGTTTCTCCACTATGTTACTCTACCTACACTTCTGTTTTTAACTGTATTGCCTGGATGAGGACACCACGTCTTCCATCTGCAAAATTCCTTTCACCACCTCAGTTGGACAGAAATCTAATTTTGTTGCTATTAATCTAACAAACGAATAAATAAAATACTGTTCCTCTCTTTTGGTGCAGAGCCAGTTTGGGGTAGTGGTCAGAACTGTGGACTCTAATCTGGGAGAACCGGGTTTGATTCCCCACGCCTCCATGTGCAGCTGCTGGGTGACCTGGGGCACGCCACAGTTTCTCTCAGAGCTGTTCTCAAAGAGCTCTCTCAGCCCCAATACCTCACAGGGTGTCTGTTGTGGGGAGAGGAAAGGAAGGAGACCGCAAGCTGCTCTGAGACTCCGAGTGAAGGGTGGGGTATAAATCATCATCATCATCATCATCATCATCTTCTTCTTCTTCTTCTTCTTCTTCTTCTTCTTCTTCTTCTTCTTCTTCTTCTTCTTCTTCTTCTTCTTCTTCTTCTTCTTCTTCTTCTTCTTCTTCTTCTCCCAGTGCCATTTAACACCTCGTCCTTTTCTCCTTTAGTCATAAATACTAATCGGAAAGGGTAACCTATTTCGTATCTTTTCTTGAAGTAGTAGAACACAATAAGGAAAGCTGAATTCTGGGAAGCAAAAGAACCAAGGACTGGGCGAATAAGAAGTAAGACCCACTGCTACCGCTGCGGGGAAGAGAAGACAGAACTGCTTCTCTGTGGATTATCCTTCAGTCAGGTTACCAGAGAGTGCTTCAGTCACTGGGGCAATCCTCTCCATCCATCAGGAGGCGACTTCTTCAGAAATAAGACGGTAGCTTCCACTTCCTAGACTAGATGCACTTAGTATTGATATAATGATTGTATGCCTGACTGCCTGAGAGACCGGGACTCAGAACTAAAACACGCTGAACTCGTGCACAAAACAAAAGACTCGGCAGACCAAGTGTTAGTCCTGGGTCTAACACTTAGTCTGATGAACAAACAGACAATTCACAGCTAAACAAATGTCCCTGCAACAGCCCAGATGTCCAGGAGAGAAAATATTGGGTTGGATTCAGTGATTCACAAACGCAAGGACCATGGATGTTTTCCACATTCCTCTCCCTCTAGCAATGATTCTGACCTTAGGAAGTTCGTTCCCTGGGTCATCTTGAGCTATCTCCATCTTGTTTTTTTTCTTTTCTCAGATGAGGGAGAGCAAACCTGCAGGCTTCTCTGCTGAAAAGATACAAGCTATAGAGCTCCAATGTTCACCAACCCCTGTATTGCCAGACACACCGGATCTTCGTTTTACTGGCTCCTTTTGCACGCGACACTTTGTTCACACCACTCACCTCAGGTTCCCTCCCAAAGGCACCGCACTGTTCATTAGGCGCGGCCTCCCCAGCCGGTGTGAATGTCTACATGTCAATCCAACTGCCCCTAGACACCAGATGAAACTACAAGGACACCTCCCCTCCAAGATGGCCGAAGCCCAACTAGTAGGTGGGCTGGAGGCTGAGGCAGACCCTCTCTCGCAGGCCGCCATGAACAGCCCTCTCATTTAAACAATGGAAGTATGAAGGAGAAGCAAAGAGATCAGTGAGGGAAGACAACGCTGAGGAAAGAAGAAGAAGAAGAAGAGGAGGAGGAGGAGGAGACTGGATTTATACCCCGCCCTTCACTACCCGAAGGAGAGCGGCTTACAATCTCCTTTCTCCTTTCCCTTCCCCTCC